GGTGCCGCCGCCGCGATGCTGGGCGTCGTGGAGCTGCTGCTGCTTGGGGCGGTGTGGCTGGCAGGCCCGGCCCGCGGGCAGAATGAGACGGAACCCATCGTGCTGGAGGGCAAGTGCCTGGTGGTGTGCGACTCCAACCCCACGTCCGACCCCACGGGCACAGCTCTGGGCATCTCTGTGCGCTCTGGCAGCGCCAAGGTGGCTTTCTCTGCCATCAGAAGCACTAACCATGAGCCGTCCGAGATGAGTAATCGCACCATGATCATCTACTTCGACCAGGTGAGTGCTACACGTAGACTGGACTGGGAGGGGTCGGGGACAGGTGGAGGGTAGATGCCTGCTGTGCCCCGAGGTCTCTGCGGAGGCGCGCGGCGAGAGTTCGGGTTGACTCGTGCCTACCCCCGCTCCTCCCCGTCTCGTTATAGGTACTAGTGAACATCGGGAACAACTTCGATTCAGATCGCAGCACTTTCATCGCCCCGCGCAAAGGGATCTACAGTTTTAACTTCCACGTGGTAAAAGTCTACAACAGACAGACCATCCAGGTCAGTGCCGCTTCAGGCCCGGCCCGGCCCGGGAGGGGGCGGCCGCGTTGGGGGNTGGGGGGGGGGGATAAAAAAGGGGCAGCTGCACGTGCCCGGGCTGCTGGGAAGGACGAGTAGCTGGGCCTCATGCTTCTGTGGCTTGGGCTGCCCCTTACGTCCCCGGTCTTCGGCCCTCGGAACCTAGCTCCTTCCCGAAGGCAGAGTTTCCCTCCGCCGCCTTCTGCGCCCCTCGGGGGAGGGTCTCGCGCTTTCCTATGAGACTCCGGGGATTTCCCGTAGAGGTTGCTGTGACCATCGCAGACAGTTCCCGCTTCCATAAGATTGTCCTGACCCCCTTCAGCACCATGGACAGCACCTCGGCCCCGCGCTCCTTTGCGGACCCGCTCTGGGCTGCGCCGAGCCGGCGCAGGTGAAGGGAGGGAAAGGAGGGAAGGGGCGTAGTGCCACTCCCCCTGGCTCCAGTGTCGTCCCAGCCCGCTCTCAGCGTCTCCCCAGGTTCTCAAAGGTATCTAGGTTTCCTTTGGGCTGAGACAAAAGGTGGAAGGCGCGGCTGGGAAGAGGGGGTGCGCGGGGCCTTTGGCTGTGGATGCCGCCGCAAGGGCAAAACCAAGCGGTGGGTGGCCGGAGCCGCTGGAGCTGGACGGGAATTGAGCCTGGCGATTGGGGATGAAGCACAGAATGCAGCTCTGCACGAGATTTCTCTTCAGCCAAAAGCCTTTCCGGGCTTCTCCACTGTGTCCAGCCAGGCAGCTAGGGTCAGGAGGAGCCAGGATTTTTGTTTGTTTTTCCAGAAGCACCAAGAGCGGAGTGTTCTGAGTTTCACTTTGAGCCTTGGGAGTGGGGTTGTGTGTGTGTGGCGTGGGAACTAAGGTCTCAGGGCTCTTGAGCCACCTATGGGTCCCTTAAACTGTATGAAAGAGCCACCTCGGGGTTCTCTGGGCACACTCGAGGAAAGGAGGTGACTCCGCTACGGGCAGTTCCATCTTCTCATCTAGATGGACACCTTTTGCCTGCGTTGGACCCTCGGCAGTAACTGCAAAGCCCCTTTTCTTCCCGCGCCCACCCCCC